ATTATTACCTTAAGAACTAGTAGTTCCGTTCGTTAAATTCACGTGAATATTCGAACCTATAAATCACGACACTGCTTGCGTTGCATAACTTGTCGTTTAAAGAAACTGTTATATAATGCTCGTATTTCGCTTTGAAAGTATTTTTCGGTATATAACAATAAAAAACACTTTTTTCGGTCGCCCATAGAGACATGTACCGCGGCATTTTGATATCTTGACAAAAAAGAAAATATAAGTAAAGATAAACTATTAGAGATATCATGAAACGAAATACGCTTGCAATTAAGAAAATTATACTCTAAAAAAATTATAATCTTGTTGATATAAATCAATGTAATAGATGCCGGAATTAATAGAAGATATAATAGAAACGAATTTCCCTTAGTTTCGAATTATGAATCACTTCGATTCATCAAACATCTTGTATTCTATTTCACGCATATATTGTATTTTAATATGCGCGTATGTGAAATTAAATATATGAAAACACCATGATACTAATTATAAGCACCATAAACATTAAGAGCACATGAGTAGGTATATATCTTGAGGGAAAAAAATGCAATTAATACGTATTTATAATAGAGAAAATGATTCTTTTTGTATGCATATCAAGTTTTCAGAGACGATAAGAATAGTACTAAAAAGGTACACACAACTATCTGCAAACTGAATTAAACTTATATGCTCTTATCATGCATTTAGCATTCAATAAAGTCGTATTTCTAATTGAATATAAAAAATAAAGTTTCAAAATTAATAAAATAAAATAGTAACTTATTTCTTTTTTAACATGTGTTTAATTTGTTGTTGAAAAGTGTTTAGACCTTTAAGGTAAAATCAAACTTTCTCTTGGGCCGATCATACACATATCTTTCTGAAAGAACGTGTGGAATGCGATATCTCGTGTGTATAATAAATGGTGTAATTTCTTGCATTATTGTGTGTGTAAATACCGGTTTCATTCCTCAGTCCTTCATACTATCGGTTCTTTCGAAATAAATCTAAATTTCATTGATATTTACCAAATGTTCGAGCTCGATAACATTCAAGATTACAGAAACACGAGAGATATTGTCAATGAGATGTGCCAGTATTTTTTTCTTCAGAATTATTAATAAGATTGTAATCGAGAGAAGAATCCTCATCATATGTGTCGTATGTATAAAAAAAATATCTGATTTTTCATTTTGTTCATACATCTTTCAATCGAGTCTAACAAGATATGCCAAATATGTATAAATAATTCGCGTCTGTGAAAATCGACTTGATTGTGGTGATTTCGACCGTATAATCTCGATTAGTCGATTGTCAGGTGACGTTCGTTAAGGCACTTGAAATGCTAATCTCCGTGGGCGAAGCCCTTCGAAAAAAATTCAGTTAGAGCTCATTTACCTACTCCCTTATCCATTCACGATTCGCCTTCTATGGGAAATTGAATAGTCATGCATTAACATGGGAAATAAGCGCTAATACATATATATAGAGAGAGAGAGATAGAAAGAGAGGGGGAAGGAAACACTTTTCGAATACGCGTAAAGCATTGGACTCTTTCTCGAAGCTCCACGTACTCTTAGATATAGGAACGTGTGTGCTCGGGGAATGTAAATTCGCGTAGTCGGTTCCTTTTTCTTTCCGGGATATCAAAATCTCTAACGACAATGCGGCATTAAAAATTTCCGCGCGATTAACCTCATATCGTACTAACAGGAATGTTTTATTTTTTCCCGTAAAAAGGACGGCAATTAACGTACACAATAGCTAACTGCTCTCGTGTACTTTACGCGTTTGAAAACCTATATAAGCAAGAATGATCGACATCACATATCATATGCGAGTATAAAAACATTTTTCTGATTGAAATGCGTGTGAGTGAATGAGCAAATTGTGTGAAAACGATATATACACTTATATCAAACAAATTTTTTCTTTATCATGCCGAATGTATAAATATAATTTTAATTCAACTATAATTCTTAACATTTATATTAATGAAAGCACTCCAAATTCTTGAAAGACAATACTACAAAAATCGAGAAAAATATTGAAAATAAAAAGACGATTTAATGAAATCATAAATTCATCATTATCACAAATTCATTAATATTAGTAGCAGTTTTCGACATGTGCATACATATTCTAGATAGCAATAAATTTAGCTTATCATAGGGGGAATCGAATTTAATATATATCTTGTATTATATAAATATCATATAAATATAGTTCACGTATAATACGATTACTCACGTATAATACGATCATAAAATTGATAATCAAGTTAGATAACTTTAATATTGAGCGGTAATCTTGACGAAAGATCATGAAGCCTTAATTGTGTGCAAGTTCTTAATAGTTTAAGTTAAAACATCCATTGTTTTTAATTAACATTTCTGAACATTACAAAAGCAATTCAGATTTTAATTTTGTTAATGCGATTATTCAGACAACCTGAAATTTAGATAAAAAGTGCGAGACAAATGTAACAACATATTCCAGCGCAAAAACACACGGATAAAAATGATGAAAGTAACGCACGTTATTATATCGTCACGTCATTATATATATTTTCACCATCTATATGATGTATGAAAGTAATTCGTAACACTGTAAAAACGCGATTACTATCAATTTTGCCCATAAAGATTCTACTGTAGCCTTCATTGCTTCTTTGCTCGTCTAATATATATAAGTAATATATGTATGTATATATAGATCCCTACTTTATTATTTATCCGTTAGAACCGATAATTGATTTACGGGATATGTTGAGGAATATGTCAAATAATAATTCCAAGATTTTAATAGATGATGAAATTTACAAAAATGCATGAGAATACAAATTAAAGATGAAAATAATTTCATCATAAATTGTCAAAGTTATGAAGAGGGAACAAGATATTCGATTATATCGAACGATCAGGACCAACCGCACAATCGAGATTTTTAAAAAATATTGTTTACATACTTTTTACTAGAAATGCAAAATAAATTCATACGTAGACCTTAATACGTACAAACTTCACGGCATTATATAAATCATTTAAAATTCCATTAGAAATTCGTATCATTACGAGCATCTTAATTGTCCGATATTTTAATTTTCCTGGATTTATTCTGTTTCTAATACCTTGAAGCTTTGCATACGTCTGAGTTTTATATAAGCCGACATGTGACGTTCGATTTGTAATTTCTACGGTGAAGATATCATAAAGCGCGCCGAACTGGTCCTCCGGGCGAGGATTTTTGAAGGATCGGATTATGAAAGGTGTACAAGCACGAAGATTCGCGTGACTTAAGGCACTAACAGTATACTTAAGGCCTAAACGCAATGTCCTCTTTCTTAACATTAGAAGGCACTATTTCCTATCAGAATACAACACGTAACAAATGTTAATTTATCGACCCTTTGCGTTAATCTTACACGCGGAAATTCTTTTAATGATATAAACTGGCTCTCTAGCACATATATATATATACATATATACTGGCATCTCTTATTCCATCGTTTTAACTGGCTTCAGACGGATGTCCCAGCTTTAATTGCAGTTATGCAGCGATTGAAAATACGGTTTGAAGAAACAGATTAATGCTATGTCTGCCACCTACACAGGTCGCGTTTCGCAAAGTTTCTAGAAATTATATACACGATGTATGTATTACTATACACCAAGCGAGCGCATTGAGATTTTCGTGCCCCTCACAATTCCGTGATTAACATGTGGAATCAACGACTTCGGTGTCTATAATTTTCGAGAGTTTTTTCCATTTTCATTTTCAATATCGCATCAATAAATCATTCATTTGTAGGAATATATTGCAATCTTACATTTTTTATATATTATATAAAATGAACTATATATAAATTTATTCTCACACATTATGTGTGATTAACTTTTAATTAATTAAATTCGTTAGTCGTATTCTCTCTTATTTATTTAGAGATCAAACTTTTAAATATCATCTGAATTTTTATCGATTAATTGACATTAATCAAGCAACGATTAATTAAGTAACTTTCTCTTAAAATACAAAGTCTCTAAATTGTGCATTTTCAGATTAGCAATTCCGAAATCGCTAATTCGATGCATCAAAAACATCCTGATGCAATTTTTATTTTGTAATCAGACAATCGCGTGCGCAAAGAACGATGTCATAAATATATATGATAAAGTAGATCGTTCTTGCGAGAGACAGCACAGAGCGTTTGAGCATATATTTGCCTTTTATAGGTGCCCTGCGGATATTTATTGAGCTATCGAGTTTTCCATCAGGATGCCATCACGTAAAATGCGGAATAATATTTATTGTTATTGTTTGTGTGAAACGCGTGTGTCTACGTTCTAGGATGAAAAATCTCAAAGCGCGATAGAAAAGAATAATTTACTCGATTATGCTTTTATTTTCATAAAGCACGAAGTAGTGTTAACGATATTTCGTGATTGCACCTTCTACTTTGGCACCTTTACGCGGAATCAAAATTTGACGATTTACGATCGAAAAAAGCTCTTGCGACTAAAAAGAGATTTTAAAAAGCATCATATATAATATATAATGCTATTAATGATATTGCTTATTACGCATTCATAAAATACTGGCTTTTGGGATGCCGACGTTCATAATATATATCCCTCACTTCATTACTACATAATGAAACATTAATGATTGTCCGTCCCTAAACGCGAAATTCTTTGTGCATAATCGAAAAATTGCTCTATTAATGCTTTTACGTAGTGTCTACGATCACGATTGTAGTTTATTTAACTGAGCATGCTAAGTCCCAAGCTCCGTCACCGGAGTTCGATATATATATAGTTATATATATATATCTTTTAGTTTACATTCTAACCATTTACTTACCTTAATTAATTAACTTTTATATACTGGCTCTATTCTTCGTAATGTATACGATAAATGGTGCTCTAGACTAGTTGAGCTGGCCTTATTTAAACGCGTTATATATATATATATATATATATATATATATATATATATATATATATATATATATATATAAACTGGAAAATAGAACAAATAAAAATTGGCTAGAAACACAGAAGAGAACAGATACACGTATATATAATAACGATACATCTCGTCGTGCCGAATCTACGAACTCGATTGCGCAAGCAAATCTTTCCTTTCTTAAAATCGTGAAATGACCAGATTGACGCGCCTTTGTCAAAGCCCGACAATTGGCAAAACAATTATCCTCTCGCGTTCAACGCTCATAATTTAAGATACCGGTTATCATGCAGCTGCAACACTGCAAAAATCCATCGAAAGACTCGCGAAAGACAGCATCGAGAGAATCAGCCGACTATAGTTGATCAGAGTCGCGGTCACTTTGCTCGCGATTAAACGCTAAACCTAATGAACGATTTGTTTGTTTCGTCAATCTCTTTTTCCTAGTTGCTGCCCGTCCGATCAACCAGTCCGTCCTCGTTAGATTCCGAAACGGGCCGGATCGCGACGCGGCTCTTCAGGTCCCAAATGTAAGAAATATCATCGTCCGTCTCTCGCTCCAGGATCACTCGGGATCACTGGCCTATTGCCGAGGACCGTTTCTCACCTCTCTCGTCGATCAGCGTGCGCTTTCTCTCGCGTCGCACGATTCTGTGGACGGCCCTTTTCATCAGTGCCTCTTCATGTGAAGCGACAAATGGTCGCTTCGCGAGAACGATCGCTGACAGAGATGGCACTTGAACGGCTTTTGGCCCGTGTGCTTGCGATAGTGCCGCGTCAGCTCGTCTGATCGTGCGAATTTCCACGTGCAACCTTCCCACGTGCACTGATACGGCTTCTCGCCTGTAACAGACAAATGAAAGCATATCTCGATAAAGATATACTGAATATTTATTTATCTCTATAAATTTTTCATTTCTTTTAATACTAGGGTGGGCTTGAATAGGCTATTATGCTACATCTTACGATAACAGAGACAATTGCATGACTTATCGTACTTTATATATACTAATCATCGTAATGTGTCGTATATGATTAAGCATTACATAATAGAAGTCTGATAAAAAAAACAGCCCTTATTTGTTTGTATAATAATGCTTGGCTTTTTTAATTCGAGAAAAATATAAGTCATTATCTTTTTGTACATATTGGGAATGCCAATATCGCGATAGTAGTATTCTTGCCAGAGCTATTTTATTTAGATATTTTGTTCAACATTTTTTCAAAACTTTTGTCATTTCTATGTTAAATGTTTCTCTATCGAAGACCTTTTATATTTCTCCACATGTCTTTATACATATGTTTATTTTTTTGGAAATAATATTACGGAAAAGATTGCATTATATGATATATACAAATGTGAGATTAATATAAATTTATAATATATGCAAAAACAATTTCGTTTGAATAATCAACGTAATAATAGACAATGTTTAGATAATCGAAAATAATATATTTAACATAAATTAAACATTTAACTTCAATTCTGTTCGACAAGGTAATGACATAATCGCCATCAAGTTCAATCGTTTACGATCACCTGATCGATTTTGCGATCCCACTAAATTCGCGTCGATTAATAAACAGCCGGATTCAACGACGAAAACAACGATGTGATGCATCGTTTCTCCGAATTTGATCTCACAATGAAAAATCGTCGCGGTATGATCGATATATTTGCATTCGTCCGCGAATTCTCTTTAAAGCGGTGCTTCTCACCTAACTGCGGATCGTAAGTCACGGGGGGTCAAGATGAGGAGTGTTATTATCGCGGAGGATGAGAAGGGAGAAGCATGGGGAAAGCGGCGCTTAACCCTTAATTTGGTATTTGCCCTTGTAAATGGCCGGTGTTAAGGCACAAGCGGAACAATTATCGCGTCGCGGGACGTGAGCCAAGTTGCGGCCTCCAACGCAAGACGATATAGGCAGAGTTAACGCACACACATTTATTATTACGCATTAGGAACGATTAATCTTTATAAATCGGACGTTTTAATTATTGCGCGATGCGCGCGCGCGCGAAGGGTGAGAAAGGAAGAGATAACCGTGAGATCGTTTTAATGAGGAATCGCGCTTATTTCGGTAACATCTTCGCGCGAACGGAGAAATTCAACAAGTGCGGATAAGGAAGCGAAGGGTTTACTTCTTTCTCGCGAAAACATTCTATTTTTTCCCTTCATCTCGCGATTTTTCGTTCCGTCTAAAATAATGGAATAATGCGCAACTTGCGATCTCGGAAAATGGATTAGCGTCATTACCATACGATTAGAGTTAGCGTTTCATTGTCCGCAACAATTGCGGTTGCCGCGGTTCTGCATCGCGAGAAAGAGAAAGAGAAAGAAAAGGAAAACCAGTCACTCCGGAGTATTAACGCCACCTTTTTGACAGTACCGCGGGGCTAATTACCGAACGGTAATTAACGAGGTATACTGAAAGCGTTCCTGAAAGCCGGCCGTAATTAAAGACGCGACGCAAAGGGAACGGCAGGTTGCCGCGCGGCTGGAAAGGATTGAGCTTTAGCGGTGCCGAGAAACGGCGGGGCGCGAATGATCGAAGACACGTTCTCCACGCCGTAGATCTAAATCGGCCGTTTTAACGTCCCGACGCCCATCGGGCGAATATTATTGCGCAACGCGTCGGGAATATACGAACGACTAATGACGTTATGAAGGAAATTGCGCGCGCGCGTCACACACATACACGCACGTGGTTTGCGTTACGTAATCGTGAGTAATTAGTCCATTTACAATCCGTATGAGGTGCGCGTAATATCGACCGATGGGCAACGTCGCATTAGTTCTCTCCGTTATTAATGTATTTCGATCGCGTTTTTTTCGCCTGGCCCGCGTGATTATTGCTCCATAGATTAACGTCGCGTTACCTTCCCTCTATCTGTGTCCCATTCTCTTTTACAAATCGAGTTACTTAATCGTAACTTAAGCGAGATTGGTCGTTCGTTTGCGACGTCGTTCTCATGTATATCAACGTATAAAGGTCGAAATGTGACAAGATAAAGAATACAATTGAAGAAGCAAGCACTTTTCCACTCGAAATATTATTCAAACTGTTATTGATTATTTAATTGCATTTTTGGAGTACTCTCTTTGCACTGTTTCTGAAAATTATTGATGCAGAACTGCAAAAGTTTTGTTCTATCAATTTAATATTTTTGGTATATAAGATTTTCATAAAAGAAATCAGCCACAAAAACATATACGTAATCAAAATTATATATATAGATTCACACTAAGATTTATATTTTATTTTTTTTTTCCAATTGCGCTCCCTTTATTTTAATTTTTTTCATTTTAATTGTTATTCTCATAACGTCTTTAATTAAGCGACACAACCATTAAGCTTGCCGCAACGTATCACTTTTTTGCGATGCAAATACGCGCATTCATTCATCACCGCGTGCAGAGACATTGTTTAATTATCGCATAATAGCGTGTCGCGTCCTTTGTTACATTTCAAGATAGCGAGATAGATGAGACTATTTATCTTGGGACACAAGTCTACTAGAGTCACGCAGAGCGAAACTTTGAAGACAGTGTTGTATCGTATTGCGACGTGATATACAAATAAGATGTTACCTCTGATGTATTAACTGTAGGTTACAAGTTAGGGAAGATAATAAAGGAGATGTATATTGCAAACCTATTTTCACATCAATTGCATTAATCATCTTCATGAAAAGGATCAAACTATTTATATGTCATATTTATGTATACATTGTTTGCCACTTATATGAGGGTACATTATCGTTAAATCTGTGAAATTGACAGTTTGTACATAATATGATTTTGCAATTTTATCGTTCGACTATCAGTTAATGAAGCAGCACATTTCGACACATTTGCTGCGTGAAGCATATAATTATCACATCACAGCACGTGAGAAAGTTGCTCCGACGCATGGCTAAGCGACACGATGCGTGCCAGTAATGAGGAGCGAACTAACAGCTCTCTCGACTAGTTAGGAAAAAACATAAAGCTTATGTGTCGTTCATAGATGCAGCGTTCACGTGATGTCAATCTTGGCCTCTAATGAGACTCGGCGTTTCCAATGCATCATGCTTGAAATTACACACGCTTCGAATAAATTATCTCGTTTTTAGGCACACAATTGAATTTGTTTCTCTCGTCCATCAATGACATAAATCTTAATGTAATAATGTTATTAAAAAAACGTTTATAAAAATATTTCTAATTATAATTTTAAAAAATTAAAAATTATTGCAAAGATACAAAAAAAATTTAAAGATTTATGTAAGTATAAAAGTTCACAACTTATAAAAGATATTTATTTTATATCAAAATTCAATTTATTTGAAGTAAACAAGTAAATAAGTTAGACCTATTTTGCATAGGTTCCAAATTCAATTAACACATCATCTCAATTGCCGAATCTTCTAAATTTATATACTGCAAATCGAATGCGAGCGGAACCAAAGTATTACCATTATTATTATGGATGCCATCGAACACGAAAGTGAGCCAAGATGGTGAGAATTTATTTGTAGAAAAGAGAGCAACGATGATTTGCAACGCGAAGAACAATGCAGAGAAGCGTGCTCGTCAGGAAATCGTTAACCCAGCCGAGAAGGTAATCGCAGCCTTCGGCATTAGTGCATAAGTGCATTGTTAATAACAGGGTATCCGAAGCCACTACCACTTGTAGAGAAATCTACAGAGTGAACTGCCTGTGATCATCGGCATATCCTTCGATACACGGAACCGATCGACGGACGTTGTCCGGCTTACGCCAAGGCTAATTCGCCTTAATTAATACACGAGGTCTCTCAGCAAACCTCCTGTCTATCAAGGGTCACGCCAGTTGGCTGACACCGAGCTTATATTCTGATAGTTATGCACAGTGATTCTCAGTTTTGATCCCTTATCTTCTCTGATTTATCAAATTTTTTGCTACAGAATATTCCGAGTGGTTCGCATTCGAAATAACAATAGTTATAAATAAAAGAGTTTATAAATAGAACAAAATTAAAATCAAATAGTATTTTAATTGTATAATATCGACAATTAATTGATCATAATGATATAAGAAGAGATAGAAATCAATTAATTAATTTTTTTAGATTAAAATTTAAAAAAATTGAATAGATTATTAATATGTTTTTGTAGAACGTAGAATATGAGAATGCTGCTTCAACTCGGATAGGCTATAATTAATTGTAAATAAACTTAAATTTATATCACTCTGATTTATAATGTCTTGTTAAGAATTCTCTCGACTCAATCAAAACCGACTCTGGTGGAAAACTCTGGCGTAGAAAATAATGATGCTTTTAAAAGAAGCAGTTGGCATTTCTTAACTCACGCGGAATCATACTCAGCTGAGGGAAATGCGATAATTAGAGATACCCCGTAGATATACATGTTGCTATGCGATTTCTCACAGGTAGATAAGAAATTTTATGTATACGTTAATGGGCGTAGGAAACATCTCTCACCATATAATCGTGCAAGGGCGATTTACCGTGCGCTCATAATGAGTTATGATTCTCTACCTGTAATGCAACTCTCGTTACACGCAACAACGTGTGTCAGGTACGCTGTTATTCATCGATATTAAAAGTAATATTAGGCTGTTATTGTGTTCCGTTACATCGTCAATGAGGCGCGTAATATGAACAACGTCCAACACGCATAAACAATTAATATTGCTGATTGCATTTCACCCTTTGATCCTTTTTGAGATCTGTAGCTTTATTGAAAAATTCTAAATGTCATAATTTCAACTCAAATGTCATAACTAAATTTAATGTAACTTTTAATTAAAATAAAAATTATGTGCCTTTCTAAATTCATATGTGAAAGAAATATTTGTATATTTGCAGTGCACAAGTCAGTGCATATTTTATGATGTCTAAAAATTTTACTATTTATGAGACTTATTAGCAAATAATTATTATTAAATAAATATACATATTTTACTTTCACTTTGATAAAAATAGAAATGAAAACTATTGCAATGGGAGAGAACCAATTTGTGAAATATTTCAAAACCAATGGAACATGATATTTACAGCGTTTAGAGTCATTTGAAACTATGAGTTGTTGAGAACTAACAAGCCTGTTATTTCTCGACAAATCTTGACAATTTTACGATCGCTCCTATCGGCTTCGCAACGAGACAGTCATGATCGCACGAGTTACAATGAGCGAGTTACAGCGCAGAATAGTAGAAATGACGGTAATCAATGAATTGGCATTTCCCACATTCAGGCGGTGTCCGCCTTAGTAAGGATATCTCTAACTGCATGATGCCGCGCGGTGTTAGAATGACGGATAGATAGTGGTAGGTCGTTACAAGAAACCCGTGTTACACGGATCGTTGAAACAATTAGTCGAAACCGAGTACACAATCGAGTTGTACGTCAAGTAAGGCCTTTCGTTTGCCGATCGTTGCACATTGAGAATTATAAAACCGTCCATTATAATAGCATCCTAATATGCGAAGCATGTTTTAATCTTTGCAAACTTCGAAACTAGGTTCTTCTCGTGGAATTGGAGTAAAATGGGAAGAAATTAAAATGTAGTTATCGTACATGTGAATACTTAAAAAAATTGAATTCTGTCTTGCGTTAAAATAAAATAAACAACAATAATAAAATTCTGAAACTGCGATAATTGTATCAAATTATTAAAAATTTCTAGTAAAAAATGCAGAGAGATCGTAAATTATAGATCATTAAATTAAAACAAATAAAGATTTTATTTAACTTGTTTAAAAAAAATGTCTGAGATATGCGCATATATGTAAACTCTGGTCCGCGATAACGATATTATCAAAAAGGGCTTCAGTGTTTCTCCTTATCGAACGTTTCTGAGTTGAGCACCGCGATCGCGCTGCGTCTCAGTTGAACCATGGACCAGACAAAAGATCCTGGTTCTCACGACCACGCCCTCTCCCCGCTGCCCCTGCCTTCTCCAGACGGCGGCGGCGATGCCTTCACGAAGGTACCTATCCACCGGAAATTCCTGAAGCAACCACCGCCGCCGCCGCGTCGTATATGCACACGGAATGGAACGGCGCGATCTCTTCCAAGTTCTCGTGACGCGGTAATAAATGGCCGGTGCGCCTGGATCTATACGCGAGAGCGACCGTACGAAAGCGGATAAAAATGCCAGAGTTTTCTCTCCCGTTGGACAGAAGGCAACGCCACGGCGACGCTGCGGAACGGTATCGAATTTCCGCGAGGCTCTGCGGTCGTGAATCCTAGCGTGCGAAAGTCGGCGACCCTTGACCGCGACGGGCCGCGGATCACGCGCGCGAAAAATCTCGGCGGAGGATAACACGACGGTTGTACGCTGATGTGTGCCTCTTATCTGTTATCCTGCAAAGGAGAGAAAGAGTCGCGTGTTCGAGTCTGATGTAAATTCGTGAAGCGCGTGAGCTAACGCGTGATTAATTCGACGATCCTCATTAGCTGTTCTATGAGAGTTAGACTCTCTGAAAATAACATCGCGCGTTTATCGCGTAAAAGAAAAAACCCTATTTTAAAAAAAACCTCTCTTTTATCAAATCCGTAACTCGTAAATCTCGTGGAGAACGACTACCGGTTATGCGCCGCGTCCAATTTAACCATCTTGTCAGAGGAACCGCGTCAACTTCGATCTCGAAGATTAAAAGGGATGTTCGATGACTAATGGTTTACCGCCGAGCACTTGACCCGGTCGGGCGACAAGTCGTTAACTACCGGCCGTACGCTCAGGTTAAACATTATTATTATTATTATTATCGGTGCACGGATCTCACGGCGATATTTGGTGGTGTGGTTGTGGGCATCGCGTCGATTTAACGTGGGAAGACGAAGATAATGGCTTCAATCTACACGTAACCGAAGCTTCCATCTATCGTCTACGAGAGAAGAAGAAGCGATTTCCACGTCCGCTCGAAACATCACGCTATTTCGCTGAACGAGGTCCTAGCTTGTGACGTGTAATTGCGATGTGACAATAACGAGATGTTGTTGTCCCCATAATTAAATTCTTTCCCGTTAGCTTTCTTACCAGATTTTATATATACGCGCTCGTTTATTTCAGGTATATTCTATACGTGTAGATTATCGTTGAAATGATAGCGTCACCATAGCGAAACCACGTATATGCGAAGTGAGAGAAGGGACCGATGGTAAAATGACGTGCGATTGTTCTAACGATTGCTGACGCACGCGCGTGACTCACGATCGTACATAACGATCATCGAGAATGTAGCAAGTTTGTTTCTCTGAATCGATTGATGCATTTAATCTTGATCAGCTTTCGCGATTCAGAGTTTCAATTAAATGTCCATAGCTTTCTAATCGCGTATCGGAATCGAGAGATTTATGATACATGTGTGTAATTTAATTAACTTTTTTTCGAATTTTTTTCTCTCTTTGGTGCATAGCTATATCTTTCGTCTGAATCTTGAAATTCTGTATATTTGATACGATGTTAAAAAAAAAAAATATCAAAATTATTTACTCGATTGAAATTGACTTACCAGTGTGGGTCCTCTTGTGCGCCTTGAGATGCGAACTCTTCGTGTAAACCTTGTCGCAGCCGGCGACGTCGCATCTGTGAACCTTACGTCTCTTCAACGCGTCGCCGCAATCACCATCGACACCTAAATTGCCGCCGTTTCCGCCAACGCCGGCATTTCCTCTACCCCCTAATCCGATACCTCCCGCCAGCGGACGTTTCTGGAATGCGCTGAAATTCAATGACAAAAATATGCCGGTCAAACTCTAATGCACTTACATATATTCGAATATATAATATGCTTCTCTTATAATTTTTTTCTTTACTAAAAATAGATTCATCTAAGAAAATATTTTATGATTGACGTAAAATAAATCATGATCGTTTAAATTTAAAGAATGAAAGGAAACAGAGATGAAAATTAGATTGTATACATAATTATGAATCTCGACAAGTTAAACGACTTCGATTATAATTTACTTAGAACAAATTTTATTTCTGAAAATTTTTTATATCTTGATAAGTATATTGATTCGGCTCATATTGAGCTTATTCTTTATACAAGCGGAAACTTTTCTCAATGAATAACTTTTGATTATATATGAAAGACAGCTAGCGTTTTCGAGAGGCGACTGAGAAAAGACGAGAAATAATATTCTACATTAAAAGAACTCAGACGCAATTTATAAAACGGTATAACATGCCGGCGACATGCGGTGAATTATAAAAGAATCAGATGTAGGATCACGCGTTTTCTTGCGTCTGAGATTGCCTTCTGGTGCTCATAATGATACACGTATATCTGAGATGACATTGATTATCACAAGCGACAAGAAATTCGTCGTTCGAGCACCAGTTGCTATCAATATCAATTCCAATAAATGTGGAAGAGACATCTTCATCAATCGTTTTGCGCATGAATCGCATGTTCCATCATGGATGATCTGTCATTCTTACTTTTTCTAGACACGCGGTCGAAGAATATATATGATTTGTTTTTTAAATAAATCGCTACTTTCAGTATAATTTAATTTTATTTCTAATTTTAATTTAAAGATAGTTCTAATACTTTTATTGTGAAATATTATCTCTCTTTCTCTCTAATATTTTCGTGTAAAATCAACATAACTTTAGTAAAAAATTGTACAGGCAATTTCAGATCGAAAAATTTAATAAGTATTCACGAAGTAAAAACAAAAGTTCATTTAAAAAAAAACATAAAAAAGGAGAAATTTAAATCTGAAAATAATAGATATCGGCACGAATTAAATTTCTCATTATTTAAGCCAAATAAGCATAGAAATTTTTCCACAGATAACATATTGCTTGCTCATTTAGATGAGTGTCCTAGTTTCTAGCAACGCGTTGTTACGTTGCAAAATTTTCTTTTCGAATCAAAGTGTTTTTTTCGGTGGATAGACGAAAAACCGAGCGATTCTTTCGAAAGCAGGCAATCGATCCGATCCATGAAGAAAAGAAAAGCATATCGGGCTGGTTCGATCAATCTCAACTTGACACGCTGAATTCTGGTAAGACTTGTTTTTTCGCGAAACATTCGTACGTGCTAACGATATAAATCGGCTTATTTCTTAAGGCGTGCCATATTAGTACTGACCAATTTGGTACAGCGCAAAATATCACCTCTAAATATTGTTTGTGAATAAAATAAAGCAAATAATGATAAGAGACAATCCGAAATAATTACGCGATTGACTTTAAAAAAATTTAAGCTTCTTAATGATCACAATAAATTCGATTTCTCATTTTACGCTCTAATTTTTTTATGTAATTTTATATATATTTTTAATGTGACTTTTTAAAAAATAAAATTATCGCATAAATCTTTCAGAGTGATATCAATCTACATCACACAATCTGTGACTTGCGATCAAGAATAAAAGTTTTAAAATAGATGAAATAAAACGATACCACTAACGTGTCCTTAGCTACCATCATATTTTATCGAAGTCACGTGAAGTTTTCATGCACAATTCGCGCTATAAACTAGAACGCTGTGCAAACCGACATACATAAATCCCTTTATAGTTGCGATAATCCGGATAACGTTCATCTACCCCTTCAAAAAGTAGGTTTTTGTGTATTTTTATCCACATATAAATGTGTCATGGAAAAATTTATTATTCTCTCATATTTTTATATGAATGACTATTTTGTTTTTTAATATACTTTTCTAATGATCCTGCTATACACGGCACAATGCGATAATCCTTGAATTGGCGAGCAGATAATTAATAAAAGAAAGACATATATCAGACAAGGCATTTTATATGAAAAATTACCAATAAGTATAAAAATAAATATGCATAGAATCGTGCAGTTTAAAAATTTTTTTCGCTATATAAGTGAAGAGATTACAATAAATTTGTTTTAACAATTTATCGTGCATAATAGAAACAATGTTGCACACACATACAATATTATTCAGAAAAATTGAAAAATGGCAATATGTAAAAATGAATCTTGCTATATATTGTATCAACAACGACGTGATATGAAGACCTAAATCATTATTCAGTTGGAGTAATCATTATAAATCTGATGATCTAATAAATAGACAAGAGCCTGACTAAGAAGTGTATTTGTTATAAAATATTATCATCAGTTCCCGTCGCGAATCCTCCGCAGGGGGTTCTGATATGCGGGTACCAGGTACTATTATGGACGTATATTCGTATATTTATTCGACGTAGATATAAAGAGATAAAATAGAAACGTATATGTATAGAAGAGACGAGTTAAAATTTATATATCAAGCGCAATTCGTATATATATAGCCGCATTCTACCTTCATACGTAAAACAAAGTTAGACATAAACTACAAGGACCTGTATAATTATAGGTCATAATTATTGGGGGAAATGCTTAAATTTTAAATTAAAATTATTTTTTCCTCGTATATACGTACGTTTTTTTTCGGGTAGCACAAAGTTCTTCGGTCTTAAAAAAAATGGAGAACAAACACGAAGCTTATGCGCAGTACACCGTATAGACAGGTTGATTTGCAAAAAGCGTATAATGAATCGGCGTCACGCTAATTGGAAGAAAGAACGAGACGAAATTACTTCGGCGCGTGCTCGCTCGAAAGAAATCGTGACAGGACGTGTAAAATGAGGTTTGTTAGCGTGCGCCGGGTGTCACGAGATTACCATGTGTTCTTGTGTGTGTTATATATGTTTGTATGTGTATATGTGTGATGTCAAGACGGTGGTTTCTCTAAGAGAGATGGATCGGGAGACCCGGGATACAATGGAAACGACAGTCGCGCGAGTGAGAGCAAATTAAACGAGATTTACAGCGGGCGCACGATCTTGTCCTATTAACCCTGGACGTGCTTATGCATTCGATGAAATACGATTGAACGTAAGCATCGACGCCGCGAGTGAGCATTCGCTGTGATATCCCGCTGTTTTCGGCCGATTGTGTGAAGCGATAATAAAGTCAGTCTTTGCATTTCGCAGCGAACTCGACACGTTTCTCGCGCGCTTATTTCGTACATCTTTGCCCCAACATTCCAACAAATCGTACATTTACATATCAGTGATCAATTTCGATTCCTTCTATCATTACATTTCTCAAAAGATGAGAATTTTCAACACTTATGATTGAAATTTGAAAAACAATTTGAAAATGAATTGAAATTGGTATAAGATTTACCAGGAACATTTGGATTTAAACTATTTTTACAAGTATAAAGTAATTTCCTCGTATCTTATTTTCTTATTTATATATATGAAAAAACGAAATTAGTATAATTGGCCACATTCATCATAATCGTTAATGTACACACTCGAAAATACAAATAATTCTGTTGATAATTAACTGAAAAAAATTGACGACGGGACATTAAATTATTCTCACATTGCCCATCCCATGAGGTAAATTCAATAAATGATTAATCATTTAATTTTTATCATACATAACTTTAACGTTATCTCGCTTCAATGGCATTTTCTCGCGCGGTCTTTACGCAACGTAAAATACACGTTTACGCCAAGATAAGATACGCAATAGCGAATAAATAATACTTACTAAGAAGCCTTTATCCTCTGTAACGCGAGAATGGCGGAAGGAGAAATCGGGAAGACGGAATCGGGCGGTTCCATCACGCAGACCGATACGTCTCTCTCCCGATCTCTTTCCCGGTTCCGCTGCCTGTCCCTTTCGCGATCGCATTGCTCCCTTTCCCGATCTCTCTCCCTGATCGCGGGTTCTCGTTCTTGTTGACATTCCCTCTCGTTCTCGCCACTCCTCTCCCGCACCCTCTCGCGCTCCCGGTTTCTTTCCCGACTTCGATCTCGATCGCGATCTCTGTCCCACGCTGTTTCGCTCAAAGGTGGCAAGGATGGTGACGCTGCAAAAGAAACGAGAGGTGCCTGTTATAAGAAAATTTTTATTTTTTATTAATTATTGTTAAAAGTTATTATATTATTATTTTAAAAATTCTTATTTTTATATAAATTTTTATTACATAATTCTGATTATATTAATTATTTCAATTCAACTTGCTAAAGTTGATTATTTATTTTGACATTTATAAATAAATTATCCATTTAAAAACTCATACTGTGAAAATTTGTATAGCAAATATGCGCTGATTTAAATAAGATTCTATAAACATAATTTAGAATGAAAAACATAATTCATTGCATAATGGCGATATTAATTAATATTCGTTTTTTAAAAGACCGGATAAGGATAGAGAGAACTGTCTTCGCAGATTGGAAACCTATTTCCGAGAATCTGCTCCCCCTAACTGATTACGGTATTTTACAGAATTACGTAATACCTCTCGCACCTTGTAAGAAACATATTATATAATTGCTATTATTAGAAGTACAAAAGCGAATCACGATATCTCGGAAAGATATTAAAAGCAAGCGAATAATTTTGGAGCAGCAATCGAAGTATATATATATATATATATATATTAATTATCAAATTTTTTTTTTAATATGAGATACGTGTTTGCCACTTTGCGTGAACGTGCCATGGCGGTCACAGGGTACCGTGCCCTCGATCTATCAGCGATCGAGGATCGAAGGTCGATGTCAGACGAGCACGATGCAGCTCGCGCAACCTCTCGCAGATACATAAATCAACGGAGTGAAGAAATGCAAACGTTTCTTATGCTCGCATCCTTTCCGAGACGTAATTCTTCGCGATGGCGTGTTATAAATCGCTTTATGATTTCTTTTCGCGGGACTGTACGAGAGATCGACTTGTTGAAGATCGCTTCGCTTATCGTTACGTCAGATTCGCGCCCGCGCGTTGGACGCGATAAATATAATTCGATGTCTCCGCGGAATTTCGCCAATTATTGCGGCATTTAGACCGTGAAACGTCTCCACACAGATTCCTATACTTCCTTCAAAAATTGGCAGCCGCAGTTTATTATCGTATTACATGGAAAATTGCGATTCACCTCGCTATCTAGAGAGTTTTGACGACCGTTGACATTGCGGCCGCCGCAGCTCTCTGCATTTTCTGCGATTTGCAAGAGCCGCCTGACAAGCGTGTTAATGTCCGTGACATTGCTGTTACTAATTAGCAGTCGCTTTAGAGCTGAGGCCAATACATTCGCAAGATAGAACGGAAAGATGCAGGTTTTGCGATACCATTGTCGATCGTACTGCTGATAATATTTTGACACAAGGCATGCTTTTCGTTTGATTATAGAAGCTAGCTCGTCCCACGTAATCGATGTAAAACTATAATTTGCAAGCTCACCTTATTACGCGAGGATAGTTTGCTTATTGATAAACACGTTATTAGCACCGTGTATAATTTTCATTATATGAAATCATCGAGTTTGAATTTCTAATCAAAATCGACATCTACAAAATTTAAATAATTTTGTTTTTCACAATACACAGAAAATCACGCACAAATAATTTATATATATATATATATATATATTTTTTAATACGTTTAGATTGTAAATTTTACTTTTAAAATATTTTAATTTATTAATGATATATATTATCACAATGCTTCAAATTACACTTGTCAAAAAGTGTCTTGCCTCAGAGAAAATTTAAGAATAGAATATATCTAATGAACTAATGTATTAGCGATTTAATGAATTATAGTCCACTATATGGAGAGAAGTATATATTTTCTTTTTTTAATGAAAATTCACGGTAATGTTTAAATTGATTGGAATCGATCTTACATTCACGAAGTTATGCGATAGCACGTGGCGCATGGTCGTAAGTTAAGCGGAACGTTCGTGCGGAACGATCACTTAAGCTGACGCGATATGAAATTTAATGCCTCGTCTTCACGAACCTGAATAGATATCTGAAACAGAGTTGAAACACGTACCGTTGCTGCTTCTCTCTTATGTATTACGTGTCTCTCTCACTGCACCTCGACAACCTGAGTTATCTTAAATTAAGTAATATATGTCGTGCATCGCGTAATAAGATTGACAGTCAATTTCGAGGAGAAATTGTGACGAAGAAAACGAATATAATATTCGTAATTCAAATTTTCAAACACATTAATATAAAGTTAAAGAAATATTATATTATCGTTCTGTTACATTCTTTCAATTGATTTTATCTTTAATTAGAATATGATTGATTTACGATTTTCATCGGATAAAATATGTACTTTTATACATGGAACATACTCGCAAGAAATCGTAAAAACTGAAAATAGAAAGTAAATTATTATTCAGTGCTTATGATGTAACGCGAGAATTATCAAAATACTCGTTCTCATTATACGTATATATATATATATATAGGTGAATTTCTCATTAATTATTTATTCTTATCATGGTAGAAATCTCATAAGCATCTTCGAATCGTATCGAGGAATCATTATGAATTCAGTCGGTCGAACCACGACGTAGTAACAGCGGTATTATTAACCGCAATTTCCGTGCGCCGAGACGGCCTCGCTTAATTAGCCGCTGCTTCGGACACTTTTTCCCCCCTCTCGAGAGATCTCGTTCCGAACGTCTCGTTAGGGCCATTAACTCTTCTCATAGTTTTAGCCGAGACCTATGATCTTCGCTATCTAATGGGGCACGCAGTCGTCACAAACAGGAACGATCTGACGGAGCTTCGTGCGTCGTTACTTTGCATTTCACTCTCCTATTTTTATTTTTTTTTTTTCATTCTCTTTTTCCACAGTTATTCCTTAATATGAAAATATATGAATGTATGAATGGTGGTTGCTTAAAAATCGAGATAACGCGATCGATTTAATTACATCTCTAAAAAGAAATTTCCATAAGAAATTAAATTAGCAATGAAGACAGATAGTCTAAATGAATTGACTTTAACTTAATAATTCATCATTTCTTCCACATATTGTGCTATTTATAAAGAAAGCAAAATTAATCCTCATATATTAATTATTAATTTAAGAATTAATTATTAATTCTTATAATAATAATCAAACTTTCTTCCCAAATTTATAATATCAGGCTACAATATTTTATTTTTTGAGGAATTTTTTTTTCCGATCGCGATATCTCTATATCAATGTTTTTCAATGATTTATTACTAATATACTTTTTCGAAACCATTTCAAATTCGTAAAAAGTATCGTCAGCTGTTTAATTAGCATACCAATGAAAATCCCTCTCTAAACGTATTCGCTCGCCTCGCCCACGCTCTAGCAACAGGGTTAATTCTAAGCATTAGCGGTAATAATACTCGTTTTTAACATGTTTCGCCTTTCCGTTTCATCTTCGTCTTTCACCCTCCGTCCAGGCATGATCTTTTGCCTTCCGTCGCTTTTTTCTCCCGCACACACGTATCCGATGCGCCAAGGAACGTCAGGGGGTAATTGATAATGTTAAACGCCAGGGTTAATCCGTCGATTTATGGGCAGAGAGCGTGCGCGCCGTGGATTTTTTAAAATCCACCAAATTGAGGGATAATCGCCCGACATTAATGCCTTCGCCGCTAAAGATCGCCACGCCACACCGGGCGCGCGAATCCAGAGGGATGATTGAGAGAGATAAGTGGGAGTACGAAGGTTATGGCGCTTCTCGCGTGTCCGGTGGCGAATAAAAGAGGGACCCCGCTAATCCGCCAAGAAAAAGGGAGAGTGCTTGAATCGACTGAGAGAATCGATCTCGAGATAACCACCGGCGCATGGCGTCGAGGATAAAGCGCCTATCTCATGACCCGAAGTCAAAGGTAGTCACTCGTAGGATCTCGCGTTCGCAACGAGATGCGAGATGCACATTTCTGTTCCGTGATTCTCGAATTACATGATATAAATCTCGAATACGATAACTCGTATCCATAAACTTGCGCACTTTTGAGTAAACATTAACGTAATATGACTATTTTTAATACCTACACTAGTATAAGAGGTAGAAATATAAATATATCTTTATAATAATATTATAACATTATATAAATATATTTTTAATATACAGTACCCTCCACAAGATTGGAAACATCTTACATTTTACAGTTAAACAATCGCATGACAGCGAGCTGTGCAGGATTTTTGTATGAATATATCATAAGATATTTAAATGACAATATAAAAATGTCATTTAAATATCTTACGATTCCAAATTTGTGAAGGGTAGGTATATATATTTAATATTTTATAAGAGAGATAGAAATATATACATATCGGGGGAAAGATACAGTTATAGTGTAATACAAATAATTACAATATTATAAAAGCAAATGAAATATGTTTATAAAATATATATTTATTAATTATCAAAGATGTTTTTTCTTAATAAAGAACAGACTTATTTTTGCAGAATTTTTGTATGAATATATCATAAGATATTTAAATGACAATATAAAAATGTCATTTAAATATCTTACGATTCCAAATTTGTGAAGGGTAGGTACTATATATTTAATATTTTATGAGAGAGATAGAAATATATACATATCGGGGGAAAGATACAGTTATAGTGTAATACAAATAATTACAATATTATAAAAGCAAATGAAATATGTTTATAAAATATATATTTATTAATTATCAAAGATGTTTTTTCTTAATAAAGGACAGACTTATTTTTGCAGAATTTTTGTATGAATATATCATAAGATATTTAAATGACAATATAAAAATATCATTTAAATATCTTACGATTCCAAATTTGTGAAGGGTAGGTACTATATATTTAATATTTTATGAGAGAGATAGAAATATATACATATCGGGGGAAAGATACAGTTATAGTGTAATACAAATATTTACAATATTATAAAAGCAAATGAAATATGTTTATAAAATATATATTTATTAATTATCAAAGATATTTTTTCATAATAAAGGACATACTTATTTTTTCGGCTTTATCACTCGCAGGCGGCAACGAATCCGGCGGGATAACGTCGATTATCGCATATT